TCACTAGTTCAGACTTCTATTGGATTCTCTGGGAGAAAGAAATATTTAGAGCAGATTGTTGTGATTCAACAGATGGATCGGAAACACCTTTCGGTTCTGGTGCAGGTGTTTTTAGTCGCAGACCCAGGACAGAGATATCTACCTGCCTAGGAACTTATGCGACTGTATTTCAAGCGGGAGTTTCCGCTATTGAATTGTGTGCGGAGAGATTGGATAAATCCAACCCCACACACAAGTCAATAAATATGATCTTGGACAGTCAAGCGGCATTGGTAGCTGTTGGCTCCTACCAAGCAACGTCTAAATTGGTAGCAAATTGCCAAAAACGACTCTCCTCGATAGAAAAACTCAACAAATTGTCTCTGGTCTGGATTCCTGACCATACTGACCTAGAAGGCAATGAAGCTGCTGACTCCCTTACAAAGGAGGGTGCTGCAAGCAGCTTCATTGGACCAGAAATTGTCAACGGCATCGCTTTAGACTTTGCCAAACAAACTTTGAACACCTGGATGACAAAAAGATTCATGGACTTCTGGTAGAACCTTTCAGGATTCGCTCACTCCAAGACGTTTATTCACCCTTCTAAGCTTGATACCAAACAGTCGTTAGACTACAGTAGGAATGAACTACGATGTCTAAGGCCTTCTTACAGGTCTCTGTCATTTGAATCATCATTTGCAGAGACTTGGACTGTCAAAATACAGTGTGTCGCCTCTGTTTGGAAAATGATGAAACAGCAGAGCATATACTTCGTGCCTGCCCCGCTGGGGACCGAGTCAGGTTTTTAAAGTTCGGCAGAGCCGCACTCTTACCCTCTCACCATCTGACCTGAAAGACCACTCACCATATAAACTAATCGTCTTCGTTAAGGAGCTGGGTTTATTTGACCAGTGTGAATAGGTATGAGCCACAAGAAACCCTTTCGAATTACGATGGAGAGTCGAATAGACCCACTTACTTCAGAGTTTTTTTTTTTCGTATGGGGTGGAAAACTTCATGGGCACCGGCTGCTCATGTTCTATCACATGCCGGTAGTGGCGGATTTTTACCGCCTCAAACCACCCCGTGCCACTTCTGTACTCGGAAATCTCATGATGATATTCATCAAGTACAGACGACGACTGTCTACTCTGGGTTATCCCTATCTCTCTCATGTTTCCTCTTCTCATTTTCCTTTTTCTTCATCACTTGCCGTAAGAAGTAGGCCCAACTTTTTCATTTCCTTTGCTTTTCCACCATGTTTGGTATTAGATTATGTGCGGTGATTCGCACATTCCAATCAGATTCCAGTTTTCTTCTGTCTTCCAACCACCTGTTACAGTAGAAGTGAGTGTGAGCCGGGTCGTTTCTTTGTTGGCATTAAATACATCGCTCAACGGCGGTCTTTTCTATTTTAGATGTGAAGCTGCGGAAGCTTCCGTGGCTGGAAAGAGTGACGAAGTAGTCGACGTCTTTAAAAAGACATTTCATCCAACTTCCTATATCGGGGATCAGTCTCTTTGTCCATTGGGCTGTCATATAATTTCCGTCCCATGTCCTCTACCATTCCCGTATAGTTTCCTGCCACTTCTTTTTTTTTATTCCTGCAGTGGTCTCTTCCCTGTTATTTATCTTACATCTTTTTTCTTCTACTAAAATATCGACGGGTGGGATACTGGTGATGACACATATAGCCTGCTGGGAGACTGTTCTGTATGCTGAGGCGACCCTCAGTAACATATTTCTCTGTGTCGCCAGAAGCATGTTTTTGTATTTATCTACGGCTGTTACTCGTTCCCAGATTGGAGCCGCATACAGGAGTATGGATTGTACAACACCATACAGAAGACGTCTTTTTTGAGTCTTCGGACCCCTGATGTTGGGCAGTAGTTTTGTTAGTGCTGCCGTCTGTCTATCGGCTTTTGCACACGTACGTCTGACATGTTCGTTCCATAAGTATTTGTCGTCAAGCCATACTCCTAAGTATTTGACGTATTTCCTGGGTGTAATCGTAGTGTCTTGGATTTGGAATTTGATATCTTCCCGTTTCCTGGGTCCTCTGTTTTCTGTTTTCTGAGGTGCTGTATCCAGTCCATTTAGCGTCATCCAGTCTACGATCTTTTCAATGGCTAGATTACCGTTACTGATAAGGTTTTCCTTCTTTTTGGCTTTCACCACAATGGCCAGGTCATCCGCGTATGCCATTGTGTTGCAGCCATTCGGTAGGGTGACTTTCAGGACCCTATCATATCCATAGCACCGGTCCAAGAATCAATCCTTGAGGAACCCTTGTGACATTATCCGTATCTGCTTTTCAACTAGCAATTGCCTCTCTGTTGGATAGCTCTCAATTAGGGCGACCAGAGAGTCTCCTAACCATAAGGTGCCACTTTGCCGTATTGAAGGCATTCTTGACATCTATTAAGATTACCACTGCCCATGTCTCAGTTCTCTCCTTGGTTTTCTCTACGACCTGCTTCATCACCGCGATAGTTGATTTCCCTGATCTGAATCCAAATTGATTTGGAGATAACCCTCGTTTCGTTTCCAGTTCCGCTTCTAATCGAATCTTCAAGGTGTGTTCGTAAAGTTTACCCGGAACATTAAAAAGACAGATCGATCTGTATTCAATTTTTACCTCTATTGATCCCCCTTCGGTATTAGGACCACTTTGCATTCTTCCATCTAGGTGTGAAGGTGCTTTCTGCTTTCTGCTTTCTGCCATCATCCCATTGAGCAGTCTCAATATCTCCTCTGGAAATGTATTTAACGACATACGCATTGCCTCTGGGGATTTTCTAAGCTTAATTTTCTCAGCTGCCCTTTGAATTTTTTCAGATGTAATCGGGGAAGCCTCCTCAGATGGATGATCATCTTAATCGATCTTCTCATAGAATGGAAATAGGTTTTCGACGATTTCCAGTTTTCCTCCAAGGTGTAATTCTTAAGGTGATTTTCTGTGCTTTAGACCCTCCGTTACTATTTTGTAACCTTTTCCCCATGGGTCTTCCTCGAGTTGTTCACACAATAGATTCCATTGTTCTTTTTGACCTTTATTAATGGCCCTTCTTAGTGTTCTCCTCGCTTCTTGGTACCGTCGTTCCAATTCCATGATTACGCCCTGTTCTCTTTGCCGGCTACGGGCCCCTGTTAGAACTCTTCTAAACCGATAACATTCCTGCCACAGAGCAGAGATTTGGTCATTCCACCAGCACGACTATAATCTGCCACCTCCGGGTGTTTCGTGTTCCATAGCTACTGCTTGTGCTGATCTCATTGCTGCCACAAGTTGGTCCACGTCTTCTATCCCTTTCACCAATATTTCCAAAGCATTTGCGATGACTTTCTTATCTATATAGTGCACCGGATGCCAATCGGTTTTTGTAGAATGTTTTTCTACGTCTATGATGTAGAAGATATACCTGTGCAGACTCATACTCTCATTCACGGACACTTGCCAGTCGAAGATTTTGGATGCCATTCCTTCCGAAGACAAGGTGACATCTATGTATGAAGCCTGTTTTCCTCTGACGAATGTCGGGGTATTTTCTGTGTTTTGCACTGCTAGGTTCAGAGAATTCATCCACTCGGTAATGTATTCCCCTCTGGATTCAGTATACTTGGAAATCCAGAGTGTAGACTTCGCATTGAGATCACCGGTTATAATGAAGTTGGTATTTCTATCGGGTTTCTGCATTACTTCGTCTATATATGCCTTGAATTGCTGGCTGGTAATGTTTTTGAGATATGTAGCAGTTAAATAACGCCCATTTGCCGAAGTTCATCTCCGTGTATCCGGCCCCACTAGTGTGTTTCATTATGCCGATCTTTCTGTTCCTGAATAGCGTGGCTGTGTCATTGGTAGTGTCTCTGATCCTAACCATACTCAGATTGTGCTCCTGAACCAGGACAATATCGGCTTTCCTTTCTTCTGCTACCTTCATTGACTGAAACACATGTTCAACATGTGTTTCAGTCAATGCCTTGTATCCACCTTCAACTCCAGTTTAACGCAAACAGTTTTGACGGCGTCCCATTTCGGTGCAGAGGATTTTGAGGGTTTTCAATGCTTTTTAGTATTCTCCCAACGTGTCCTTCAAACCTCAATATTTTATCTACCGATTGGATTAATGAAAGAGTTACAGAAAATCAGTCGTCAGCATATGTCAGCACACAATTTCAGATATCCATCGTCTAGTTGCCAAACTAGATCTGTAAATTCATTGATATTGTTCTGTGCAGACAGTGTCACAATTTTAAATGGAAACTATTGGAGGAATCACCCTGAAAAAAGTCCAATAAATCATCGCTGGCCTTGGTAGAACCCAATTCAATAAACCGAATAAATAACGAACAATCACCATCTGACTCCAGATTAAAAAACGTCATAAATTCCGAAAATGAATTCCCCTCTACGTCCGAGCGCCATACCTCAATGAGAAGAGTTATATATATTTCAAGCATGTCGTGGAGATGATACACTGCAGCCGTAAATCATCGCAGGCCTGGATCTTTCTTAGCCCTCACACGGACTCGTTGAGCTCAGGAGCCCGAGCACGAGCAGGAACTGAATTATCGTGCAGCCTACTGCGATCTACTTTAATGCCTTCTGAGCACCAACAATAAACATGTGCTCGTAAAGATGATGAATTATATGGAATAGTCGTTGGAATTATTAACTTCATTGAACTTTATTGCAACTTTCTCCAAGAAACGTTGACTGCTTTTAATAGGAAACTTCAAACTCAAAATGTGTTTAGAAAAATCTAAACAACTTTTGATTGAAGTGCGATTTCTCAGGAAAGATTAACTATCGTGGAATTAGATTTCGGATTTCTACTCATGCATCATTATTTTTTCAGGGTGAAATGATAGATTCTTCTTGTTATCGGGAAAATGTTCTCATGTTCACCAGAACGTGGAAAAATCTATTGAGATAAGATATTTGTTGACCTTTGAAAATTACAAAAATGTTTATGAGATAAATTCAGAACATAATTGTGTAGGTACGTCAAGACTGAGGTGTAGTAACATAAAAATGTATATAAATTGTGTTTACATTCCTCATGACACCATGTTTACATTGTTCTAATTCAATCAGCCACAACTAACTTTGTTTCCTTTCTCAATAACATATTTTCATCAAAAAAATTCACGTATGAGCTAGAAAATGAAGGACAACTTCCATTTCTTGACGTTTTGATAATGAGGAGCCAATATGGAAGGCTAGAATACGATGTATATAAGAAGGAAACAAGCAACGTACAGGTATATATCTGACAGTTCACATCTCTGTGGTCAGCAAAAACGTGCTGGGCTGAAATAACGGTTTCTCGAGGGGCTTTGTAGATGATATATTAAGAAAGAATAACTCCAGGTTAAGAATGAACGAAATCTCGACTTTTGAAAACAACGAAAACCAAAATAAATATATCTCAGTTCCATACCACCAATACAGTTTGGGAAGATTTAAAAGGAACTAGGTACGAAGGTGGTTTTTACAAAAAGTCTACAGAGCCTTTTAGGAAATCCAAAAGACAAAGTCGAGAATTCGAAAAAGTCTGAAATTTACGAAATTTAATGTGAGGATTGTGATGCAAAATATTATGGACAGACAAAAAGATCGATTGAAATGAGATATAAGTATACATAGCACACCTAAAATGTCAGAAAAATCAGCAGTCGCCCATCATATTCTGCAACAAAACTGTTCCATAGATTTCAGTAAGATTAATTGGACATTTAACAAAAACAGGCATCTAGAGGCTTACAAGGGTGCAGAAATAAGTAAACATAATGATATTATGAATAACGATGGTGGACCAATACTTTATAGTACACCATATAGCTTGTTGAAATAATTCTTAGAATCACCTGACTACTACATGAGGACACATTGTAAAATTAATTTCTCCAGAGGATTATCACTTGGTGATCGAAACACCTGTCGAGGTGTTAAAATAACGGTTTGATGTTGGAATGAAACTCCAGTAATATTTAATCAGCCACAAATTCAGTTTGTTTTTTATTTGAAAAGTTGCGATAAATGTTTATAGTCCATTAATCTATCAATTGGAATGATATTGGAGAAATCCTTCAGTCCTTTTTTTAGAACCTTTCAGGTAATATCATTAGTAGAGAAGTGATACAGGTAGGTAAGGTCGGTATGTGAATAAATGCTGATGGAACGTGTAATCAAAGTGCATACAAATCCATGAATTGGTAAATAATAACAGGGATGTTACACGGAAGTTGACACTTGTTAGTGGTTCACATAGTATACCAAGAAATGAAATGAATATAGTAATAGCTCAATTCTGAGAAAATAGTTTTTATANCTTACTGCGCATTTGAGACCTATGTAGCATCTACATACCAAATTTTAGATTTCTACGACTCACCAGTACGGAGAAACAGAGATGAATGGGTGGTTGTTAAGTGAGTGACTTTTGCATTTATATTATTACAAATTTTCATGACCTTCCGAACACATACTGAAGCAAATTCATTTAGGAAGTGGAGATTTTAATTCTCATTCAAGTATCAATTCGAATAAATTTTGCCTCTCTTCACAAAAATTATGATGAATGTTTCTTTCACACATGTTTCATGTATTTCCTACCGCTTCTCCTTCAATTGTTGCCACAAAATCGCTAACAGAATTTGAATTGAAAAGTGCATGTGGAAATTTCAAACATCTGATGTTGAATTCAAAATGAAAAAACCTGAAATGATTCGAATTCGTAACAAGGAAAAAATTGGAATATGAATTCCTAATATCACGGGTATGGAGTAGCGTTTCATTTTTTGGAAAACTATCGATTGCACTGCCTTCATCTTTCGTTGCTTTGCTGAATTTACTTTGATGGTAATATTTGAGGTAATTCCTGATCTGAACTGAAAAAAGAATCATACTTATCGTTGGATGTGTGGACTCTACATTAGAGATCTCTGGGATCTGTGAACGGGTTTTCTCTAGAAAATAAAAAGTCGTTTGGGCAGGTTTGGATGTATTCATCCTTCAGTAAAAAAATACTTTAATATATTGTTGCTTTAATATAGATTGATAACAGGGATGAGGGACCCCTTTGTATTTTTGTATTGTTGTTCCAGGTGAGTGATGAGAGGTATGGAGCATCCAGTTGGTATTTTTCAATTCAATTTTTTTCTTGATGTATAATTTGACCTTTATATGAATTGTTTTG